TATATCAATTTTGTAACGAACAACGAATATCACGAGTCACGCTCGTGGAAACAAATGCGGGCCAATATTAAACATTGCATATGATTGAAGCACGGATTTATTTGAATTTAATTTAGTATAATAAAATGAAATACTTTTTTACGTGTTAAAGATTTTTGAAAGAAGAATAAAGAAGGATTAAATGATTTCATTATATATATTTTATCGAATAATTATTTTCTATATTCGTTTTAATTTACAAAATAAAATAAATAAAATAATAAGAGATAGATAAAAATGTATTCATCTTATTCATTAGGAATATTTGTAATTTTTGTTTACGTGAAAAATATAGTAATACAAATGGGTGACCTGTTTAACACGTTACCGCAAATGACGGCTATAGCCGTCTGATCTTTGTATTTCTAATCACGATCGTCGAATTAAAAATGTGCAGCAACCTGTTAAAATAAAGTAAAGACAACAATCCTATGCCTTTGATTTCAAATAGATGGTAAAAAAGACGTAATTTGTTTGTTGACAGTATTGAATATTGTGAAGATGGGTTAATATAGAAATTAATCTGTAAAAAAAAAAGAAGAAGGATGAGAAGAAGCCACTTTTGTGATAATATATACATATATATATATATATATATATATATAGGAAAGATTTCTTATCAAGAAAATAGAAATTCAGTATACTACGATACGCCCCATTCCGATCGAAGCGGAATGGTGGGTGGAGTAAAAGGAGTTATAAATACCACGAACTTTAAATGCGCTTTAACGATGTTAAGTTAACGAGCGATACGTCGCGTCGATTTGAGAGAAGAAGAAGAAGAAGAAGAAGAAGAAGAAAAAAAAGAAAAAAGAACAAAATCTTCTTGTTTTCCTTGAACAATCGCAAAATTGATCACTAGTACGACGTACCCTTAATTTTTCTTTTACGATTATTCTTAATTGTTGGTAACGTATTTTTCATAGTTTTTTTTCTCTTTTTTTCGGACTCTTTGTTAATAAACAAATAATATTGCGATTATAAATTAACTATTCTATCTTTCAAGTTGGATGAAACTGCACACAGTGTGTTGCATAATTAATTACTACTTTATTTATGAAAGATGTAAAACACATTTTTCATTTCTATCTACATTAATATCATTAATAAGAAACTGATATTATTATCTTCGTTGAAAGAATTAATAAAAAAAAAAAGCAAAAAACAAAAAAAAGAAGCAAAAAGAAAGATTGACTTTTAATTTTCTGCATTCTCGCTTACTAGTGATTTATTCGTAATGCGTGTAACCTCTTAATCCTAATCTTTCTTTACATAATACGAGACCTTCTTGCAAACGTTACGTGCCACGTAACTAACCGATCGTTATACGATGCGCGTGTACAGAAACGTCACGCTTACTCAACCAAGAGTAAAAAGATAGATAGATAGATAGATAAATAGATAGATCAAGATAGAGAGAGAGAGAGAGAGAGAGAGAGAAATATATTCCTAATATAACATCAATGTGAACACTTAAGGCCTTTTCCTCTTCTATATTTATCGAACATAGTAACCTTCGGTAAAACGATAATCATTTTCTTAAGGGCTGGTAAAAAAAAAAAAGAAAAAGAAAACAAACAAGCACGAAATCTTTGCACAGAAAATGTATGTGTTATTTTTTGAAGTGAAAACTTCTTTAGAATGGGTGTAATTTGAAAAAATGAAACGCGATAATGTAATGGGGAAAAGAAACGGCCTTAAATTCATATAAAATACTAAATATTATTCTAAGAATATGCATAAATTAATTACAATATTAGAGTTCAATTTTTATCATTATTTATAAAAAAAATATTTCATTTGCAAACATTTTGTAAAGTTTTGTATTATTTATTTTCTTAGTAATTATTATAAAAATGTGCGCCTGTATGAATGCAACCCTCCAGACACACTTTGAAAATGTTACTTGCTAGCGCTATCTGTCGGGACGGAATTTTTTTCAGTCCGAAAGATAAGCAACCTGTCATACATAAGCGTATAAACAATTTTGACTGGAAAAAAAATTCCGTCCCAGTAGATGGCACTCGCAAGGAACATTTTTAAAGTGTGTCTGAAGGGTTGCATACGAACAGGCGCGTATTTTTATAATTAAATTAATAATTAAATAGATAATTACAAATTAAAAGTACAAATAATGTTATAATAATATTATATAATAAATTATGCTGGAAACTTGTTTATTTGAAGGTTTCACATCTAATTTGTGTGATATGCACACATGTTTTTTTTTTCTTAAAAGATCAAAGAGTAATTATGCAAGACAATCTGCTAGAAACGTCTTCTTATTGTACGTATATAGTAAGATGGTAATGACATGACTGTGTTATAACTTATTCTCTTGTAAATGAGGAAACATTTCTCTCTCTCTCTCTCTCTCTCTCTCTCTCTCTCTCTCTCTCTCTTTCTCTCTATTTCTCTCTTAACACACTCTCTACCTTTTGTAAGTATATAACTCTATGTAAATACGTTGGCAAATAGTATACACAGATTAAACATTTGTATCCATGCATGGGTCATGGAAATGGGGCTGAATAGATTACATTCGGAGAATAAAGCAGAGGTCGACGGTATTATATCGCTAATTAGGATTTATCGATAAACAACGTTTTCTGATCATCGTTAAACCATCATTGGACGTCGAGTCGTTCATTCAAAATCCATACTCTCGTTAATTTATAACGACTAATACGTACGTACGTACATACGTAATAGAACTGAACAGGTTTTTGATTGGAAAAATTAAAAAAGAATTTCTCAACGAAATGTTCATTAAAAAAAAAAAAATAGGGAAAACAAAATTTGAGAGATCAAATCATTCGAAGAAAATTTATTTAATGGAAATTTTATTTCAATATATATATATGTATTGGATTAATCAAAAAGTTTCAAGTCGATTAATAAATATATATTAATATGAGTAGATTTATTTTGCCAATCGATATGAATTTTTTCATGTAACCAAATACTTTTATTATATATATGTAGGAGAGTTTTAAGTGTCGAAGAGTAAACATAGATAAGTAGGTAAGCGACGAAGGACTAAAGGAAAAAGGATCCAATGGTCGAAATAAAGAAATACGATGCATGGTCTTTTCTTTGTAAGTTGTTAAGTTGTTAAGAGTCTATGAAAATCTAGATGGTTCTCGAGACGAATGTCTAGAAAATTCGAGAATGATGCAGATGAATATAAGAGGACACAGATTTAAGGAAAAGTCAGTTAGTCAGTTCGGAAGTTAAACAGTATTCGGTTAGTCATCAGTCGTAACAGTCGCAGTTGCATTATAAGTCGTTATCAGTTGTAAGAACACAGTTGCTTATTTAAGTTGTAATCGTAAGATTGTGAAACTATTATTGTACTTTTTCTAATACCTGTTTTAAATATATCTTATTAGTAGGATTAAACTAGGTGTTGATGTTCACCTTGCACCTCTCACCTTAAATAAAATTCCCTACATATATATATATATATATATATATATNGAGAAACGTTAGTACACCTTGGCTAGAATGCAAATGGTTGGTGCATTAAAATGAAATGGAGGAGACTCACTTCGAGTGGTATATTCTACGCTTCAAATGCGTTCAGATTTCGAAATATATATATATATATTTAAACGATTAAAAACCGGTGTTAAAATTTGTGTGATCGTATTAAATGGTACCAAAAGGAGATGAGAAACGTTAGTACACCTTGGCTAGAATGCAAATGGTTGGTGCATTAAAATGAAATGGAGGAGACTCACTTCGAGTGGTATATTCTACGCTTCATCGCAATTATTCTATGGTAAACCGTACCGTGTTTCGTGTTCCTGAACTTAGATGAATGGAATTACCGAATGAGATAAACGACGTATTCTCTATTATCTCAAATGTAACTTAAATTAAAAGTTCTTAGTATATTAAGTTTAACTATTACTGACAAATATATTGACATCCATTATCTCATTATCACTTGTATAAACAGACATACATATATATACATTAGGTGTACATATCTAAACTATCGAAACTAGGAAACAATACACGAAGATTAGAATGATCAAATGTGTCTCATAGTCGTTTAGAAATCTCGTTGAAACAACAGATATCTGTCAATGGAAATATATTCTCAATGCATAAATGTCAATGTATTGCCTATAATCTATACTTCACCTATCCAATTCATCTTCCCATAGATGAATCTAATTTCAACGTATTCAAGATAGGTTCGGTTCGTTTACATTAGTAAATACAGTTATGTTTGGAATAAGCTAATCAAACGACGAAGATATCTGACAGTTCGCCGTGTTGAAGAAACGGTGATATACGTAGGTATATACATAATACAATCCTTCATTAGAAACGTTTCTACTAAATACACTTATATACAGTGAGAATAATCACGATGATTATTCAAACAACTACTGTCAATTAAAAACCAATCAATATTTTTCTAAATTCTTATATACCTAAATATATAAACATATTAGGATTATTTATATTGTTAAATTTTATTATAAGGAAATACTTTATTCTTTTAGAGAAATATAATTATTTATAAATTATACGTGTGTGTGTGTGTGTGAAAATTACTCTTACTAGATGCATATAAATTATATTTACTTATCTACGTATGAAACCATATATATATATATATATATATTGCTAATAAATAGATTACCCAGACATTTTACACAATGCCCAAATTTTCTACATTGACCGTAATATAATATACACCTATACATATATAGTACATATTTATGCATTAACACGTTTTCTATGAGAATAAAAAGAGAATTAAATAGTTTTTTGTCTCTCTATATATCTCTATCTAGAAAACTTCGATTCATATTTCTTTGTATATGTATAATAAGAAGATAAAACAAAAAAAGAAAAAAAAGAAAAAAAACAAGAAAAAAAGTTACTTAAGAATTTAACGGCACCCATCGACTAAAGTAGGCACTCGGCTTAATGGCTTTTAGATATCGCCGGCGGTTATCTGTGCTTTGCTGTCAGCATATTTGGAATCGGGGTGGTGACGGCAGTGATCGGTGATATCGCATCCTACTTCGGATGTACTCTAGGTATCAAGGATTCCGTCACCGCGGTAGTCTTCGTTGCTCTTGGCACAAGCATTCCTGGTGAGTACATAATAAATCTCAACTTATGATATATATATATATATATATTTATTTATTTATTTAATAAGTACAAGTAAACCCTCCCCTATAACACGCTAAGGATAGGTACCTAGAAAAAATACCATGTTATGTGAAATCGTGTTATACAAGGATCCTAAATGTACATTATTCATTCGCGACATTATTTTACATTTTTTTTTAAATTTCAATGTGATAAAATAATAAAAATCTGTTCTCAAGACTGTTTTAAATTAATTTTAATCTTAAATTGTTAAATTGTAGATTTTTCGTCATCCTTGAAATTTCAGACTGTTCGCAAATAAATTATATGTGATAAAAATTGTTTAGATAAAAAAATATACCTTTTTTTTTATTTATATGTTAAAAAAAAAAATAATAAAACGTCAATCAATAGATACGTTCTAATCTTTTAAACAGGATCGATAATTAGATCAAAATTATTATTGAATTATCGTTTATAATTCATAAACTATTAGTCGAAAGATGAGAAGATGTAATTTTGTATTTCAATTTATATGTCACCGAATTTCAAGTAGAGTCTAACCAATTTCCTAAGGATAATCATCAAATTTACATGATGTTTAGCAACCTCTGTACATGGTAATTCTGATGTCAGATACAAAATATCGATAGATACTGTTATTTCTCTCTCTCTCTCTCTCTATCTCTATCTCTCGAACATTTCTAACAGTCAATTAAATTAGAACGAACGAAAAGTTCGTACGTTTTTTATATTAATATTTCCAAAGTAAATTGTACCAAAAATAAAAACAATTCATTATGCAGTTTCCAAATACAATTTCAATACAATAAATACACGAACTTTTGTTTAATCCTAATACCTTACAAACGAGTCGTCTCTCTTATCTTATTTTAATATATATAAATTACGTGTCACGTTGTTTGTTCCGCAATGGACTCCTAAACTACTGAACCAATTTGAATAAAATTATGCACACTGTATGCAATTTTATTCAACTTGAAGGATAGAATAGTTTATATCTCAATTTATAATCGCAATATTATTTTATTGCGAATTATGATTTAAAGACGTGTGTATCGGACTAATTGTGAGCCACAGGAACGCGTGGCGGGGCACCCTTAGTATTTCTAATAAATTTTATACTACGCAAGTATATAAAATATCATCGATAAATAAAAATTCGATTTAAAATAATAATTTACAAACGTTAGAATAAAAAGAGAGAGAGAGAGAGAGAGAGATTCTCGAGTAGAATAAATTTAATTGAGAGGAAGATTGAAAGGGATATGTTAAGGATTAAAATGTAAAAGAGAGAAAGATGAATAGAGAAAAAGGGGGAAAATGAGATAGATTGATATATAGAAAGAGAGAAAAGGAAAACGAGGTCAATTAAATGCAATTTGATTTTCAATCAAGGTTCAGTGTATCATCGTCTCCATGAACGGACGGTATCTATCCGATAAGAGTTTGAAACTTGAATGCGAAGCCGCGTGTAACCCCCATCGTTAAGCAACGAATTAAATTAAGTTAAAGTAACTTTTGTTTGCGGAACTGAGCACGTTATCGCGATGTGCACGCTTACCAACATCGATTATCCATCGTTAGAAGAACCATCAACCGAGTTTACGTTTAACGAACTTTACGTATTTCAAAGTTGACGTTATTTTTATTTTTTATTTTTGTTGTTGTCTTTTTTTTGTTTTTTTTTACTTTCAATCAAATCACATTCACGCGAAACGTGTGTCAATTTATGTTTCCAATTATAATCGTTTATTTCATATTAGATACTCATTTTAATGATTTCATTTATAAATAAACTATTATAAATATTACTGGATGTTTCGCAATAGTTGAAATCAAGATTATGTTACGTATTAGACTGAGATGAAATAGATGATGAAAAAAAAAAAAAAGAAAAATAAAATTCGTAATTTATATTTGACAATGATTTTATCAAACTATGATAACATGCGAAAGAGTAAATAATTTCATTTTAATGAGAGATTCGAAGAATAATAATATAAGATTGAAAGTATTCTATTTGAAATGAGAAATACGTCTTGTATAAAGTTAGAAAAAAAAACTAAAGAAAAGAGTCGACCTTTTTTGTAGATAAAGAAAGGAAAAAAAAAAAAGAAAAAAGAAAAACAAATACGGGATAAAATATAATCCGATATCATTTTGGGATTCGTTGCACGTAGAATCCGGCATGCTCGTTAATTCAGTGACGTTATCTCGTCAATATCGATGAAAGAATGAAATAAAAACGACTAGGAAGTTGAGCGTTATCGGTCACAGCACTCCTTCTTTTTTCCCCGATTGTAATAAACTTTGCGAAAAGAAGGCTAGAAAATACGTGTTTAAGCTTTATCAAGATTCTTTTTCCCTCTCTCTCTCTCTCTCTTTCTTTTATCTATTTTTCTAAACTTGCAATTAGGATCGTGATTTGTTTTAGCACTTTCAATTGATAACAATAATCTTGATTAAATAACGATTAATCGATTAGAATGAATATTGAAAATACTCTATCTAAAAAATACATGTGAATAATAATAAATCAAATAAATTATTAATAACATCATGATATTACCAATTAGATCTTAAAATATATTAGCAATGTTATATTTTAATTGTAATTATATTTCTGTTTTGAATGACCGTCTCATTAATCAATGTTTGTTATTTTAATAATATGATAAATTGTTTTTAACACTTTTGTGCAAATAAAATGATACTTTTATTGATACGATACGAAGATAGGAAGCTCGATAAATTGTATAACGTACAGAACATCATTAATGCATTTCTCTGTAATATCAACAAATATTCCACACGATCGTGTAAGATCGAACGTTATATACGTACAGTGTTTGCTCACGTTAATTCTCATCTACAGTGCGAAACTGTCGTTTCACTAATCCTACTAGCCGCTAAACATTTAACAAACATTTGCCCTCTTCATACCTGTGCTCAATGTTTACGTTATCGTGCTAACCGAACCAACTATGGCAAAACATACGTGAAGTTTCACTTTCAAAGATGCGAACAATATACTATATATATATATATATGTTTGTAAATGACTAGCTAGATGATTAGTTTAATATCGAAAGACAAAATCGTAAGAAAATACGTAACAAATATTGAACAATAAAAGAAAAAGAAAAAATCATAAATGAAAATTAATATTACTTTATCGATCTTTCTCTCTTTCTCTTTAACTTTCGTAACCAACTCTCCTCGATTATTTTCTTTCCTTTTTTCTTTGTTTTAATTTTACAACATCGAGCACCTACTTTTATGCAACCATACGTACAATATGGTAACGATCGCAGCCTACTATACCACCATGCAATTTTACTTATATACCAACGATCGTATCTATAAATCGTTGCCCCTACTTGTATGCAACCACGCATACAATAACGACCCTTGGTACAGATCGTTGCCTATATTCAGGCACAATATATCGAGTTATCTTTAATACTTACTTAGAAGTCAAACAACTGGTATTACAATTAGATATATCTTGATACACGACACGAAGTTTCGTTTCATACGATTAATGCTTGGCAATATAAAAAAATGATTTAACGAGCTTAATACACGAAATTCAAATTCACGTAACGTTAGTTTCTTCTATGGTTAGATTTATCATATGTTAGATCTTTTCTAAAGTATAATATAAAAATAAAGACAAATTTCGCATTTTCGATCCCACGAGAAAACCAATAACTGAGAGAGAGAGAGAGAGAGAGAACATTTTGAAAGATTTTGATGAATTTATTTCAGACACGTTCGCGAGTAAGGTTGCTGCCTGCCAGGACAAGTACGCTGATGCGAGCGTAGGAAATGTGACCGGAAGTAACGCGGTAAATGTCTTCCTGGGGATCGGTATTGCGTGGAGCATCGCAGCCATTTACCATGCCTGTCATGGTGAACAATTCAATGTGAAACCCGGCAAGTCAGTATCGAATATATATTTTATTTTCATTATTATAATATTCATTTTACAATTTAATCATTCGATTCGAATTTTGCAAATTTTATTGTCCTTTTACAAAAAAAAAAAAAAAAAATAATAATAATAATCCTTCAAAGCTACTTCGTTATTACGAATACTGTTACTTTTATATTACAAAATTGTTCGCGTCGATTTACGAGTCGACAAAAATTAATCGGTATTAAAAAGGGAAACGTTCGAGTCATTCGTTTGTAAAAATCGATTAACCCTATAACGAAAAATTGTGTAGTATTCGAGTTTTGAGCTTAATAGAAACTATTTTGTTTCACTTGAAGTTACGTTTATCAAAAAAAAAAATAATCTTTTTCATATATATATATATATTTAATCTTGTAAACTTTTTTAAAAAATAACTCGAATAGTTGAACTCTCGATTACTCATATTAATGAGATTTGTCTATCCTAAGAAAGAAAAAGAATGAAAAAAAATATTATATTTACTTAATCGTGGGGAAAAAGGAAAGAAAACGACTAAAAACTAATCTTTACTTCGCGATAATTGAAAAACAAATAATCCATCTCTCGATTACGTTATTCCATTTGACCTAAAACGAGACAGACTCATTTCTCATTACAAACATCTTGTTACTCTTATCCAAGGATAAAATTGCGGAATAGTCCAAAATAAGATAGAAACTTTAAGTATCATGGAGGAGGAATATAGAGTAATAAACGTATATCGAGATTCTACTAATATTTCCTCTTTTAAATGAAAGATCTCTCATACCCTTTTGATTGAAATCTTAAACGTTTCCTTAAGTCATATCTTGTAACTCGAGAAAAGTAGAGACTTATCTTTCTCATTAAAATTCAAATCATTTTTTGATATATATATACATATAGATTTCTGTTAAAAACATTTGCAAAACTTTCGTTATTTAATAAAAAAAAATAAAATAAAGGTTTAAGAATTAATTTAGAAATGTGGCAATGAATGACATACTCTTCATATATGCATATAATATTTATGCAAATTTCGTGACAAAGAGAAACGTTAGAAGGATATGTTTATGGTTATTAGCCTATCCTATACATTATACATCATTTGAATTGCGCTCATGGAAGCTGCATCAAGCAAACTATACCTGTGTTGCTGCTGTTACTACTACTATTACTATAGTAGCATGTAAGCACAGATGGCACCGTAATGACTGAAATCGTTTTCGCGAGTGTATATCGATGATAGTTTATATACAAGTTAAATGAAAGATAATACGAAAATAGATTACAACGACGAATTTATTTGTTGATTAATTATTAGTAATATATTAGGTCGAGTTATAAATAACTTCCGTTTTTTATGAGACAAAACATGGAGTTTCTGCGACTGATAAGTACAAGACACCTTTCATGGAGCTTTTTTTTGGAGTTTTTCTATTGAATTTTGCTCCAATACTATCTTTAAAAGGTTCATCAAAGTAAGAAATACGTCCTGCACTCGGTTCATCTTTTAACACGTTCGTCGTCCAGCCCGTTTCGGTTGAGTTTCTCACCAGGCCCAAAATTCGACTATCGGTGTGTCGTAACGTAAAGAAACGATAAGTAGAAATATCAACAATGCAACCCGAGTATTATGGTTATATTATATTATTATATTTTATTATTATTATTAACTGGCATTAGGAACTCGAAAGTTCATTGCCGCAAATACCAAATTCCGCCATTGTTTCCGTCCCTGAGCTCGATCCTTCCATTCGCGGTCTTCGTATCCTAATATTATTATATTTTATTTATCGAAAATAATAAAATATAAAACTATCTTTTATTTACTGAATATAATTTTCTTTGGAAATGGGTAATGTGATAAGTTTTTCCAATTAAAAATACTATAACTTCAACAAGAAGAGTGTCACCGTATACGGTGACGGGGCCCCTAGGGAAGCATGCCCGTATCCGGTAAAAATAGAATCTACATCTCCGAAAAATAGATTCCACATAACCGCATCGGAAGTTACTTAAGACTCGACCTAATTTATATATATATATATACAGTAGTAGAGACACTTTTTGTTATATTTAAAATCTCATTATCAAAACGATAAAGTAAACGTATTATTGATATTAAATATGGATATATATTAAAAGATGTTTAATAATTCAATCGTTTATTTTACAATTAATGATTTAATAATCTGACTAGATCTCTTTTCGTGTTATCCATTTAAATAAAATGTTTACTACAGGCTGATTCACGTAACTTCAATATTTTAAATGAACTTTAAAATGATATTTTCTTTAACAAACTGTAATTAAATATTAAATGATCGTAATGATCAAGATTTTCTTCTTAAGCGGTGAAATTTGTAAATACTTCAATTGAATTTTCAAAAGAACAAATGTAGGTCGAGTTAATAAAAAAAGATTTAACTATTTTGATCTTAAATGAATTGATTGACGATATATTTAACGATAAATTGTTTCGAGTATGAAAACTACGAATGAAAACTATCAAATGAGTAAATTAAAAATTGGAAATATAAATAGAAGTGGCTTTACTTTACCTATATTTCGTACTCATCAATGTTACTCCTGAAAGCACGCAACTTTGGAAAACAATTGATCAATATTTCATTGGACGTATAATTGAAAACTTATTTGAAGTGTGCTAATACGTACATACATACCTAGTGTAGTAGCAACTTAAATGCATACATACATACATAAAGAAATAACTGTATACAAACAATACATACAAACTCTGACAAAATCCTAACACAACCTTGACGTAACTTTGGATAACAATTAATCAATATTTCATTGAACGCATAATTGAAAAGTTATTCGAAGTGTGCTAATATGTGGAGGAACACCTTGTGTAGTAACAACTTAAATACATACATACATATATATATGTATATAAACAATACATACAAACCTTAACGCAACTCTGAAGAAGCCCTAACACAACTTTGGATAACATTTGATCAATATTTAATTGAACGCATAATTGTTAAATTATTCGAAGTATAATACGTGGATCACCTTAAGTAGTAATAACTTAAATACATACATACATACCTATATATATATATATATCTATAATACATACAAACCTTGATGCAACTTTGGATAACAATTGATCAATATTTCATTAAAGAGATAATCGTAGAGCCATTCGAAGTATAATACGTGAATCAACCTGTGTATTAATAACTTAAATACATACATACATACATATATATATATGAAGCCATTCCACGTCAAATCGATCATTTTTGACCTCAACCCCTTTCGATTTTGCTGAAACTTTTTTATCATTTTTAACTTCATTAATACGTTCACGCCGGCGCGTACCACCGGTGGCCCGCGCTAAACTGTCCCATCAGGCGGCGCGTATCACCGGTGGTCCACCTTGGATCAGGTTTGAAACAAGCAAAAATCACGCGCCGTCAGATGAAGCGCATCTTAGATTCGAGTGCCGTCCCACAGCGCAGACACTGAAAATCGGCGTCGGCGTCAACGTGTCAAAAAAACTTTTTTCAAATCTTCTTTGCCTAACCCCCCAAAAAAAAATTTACGAATTTGTCGATTTGACGTTTTGAAAATAAAAAAATAAAAAAAGATGGAAATATGTTTGTTTCTTGTTGACATTAGCTTGGCCTTCTCCGTAACGTTGTTCTGTACGGAAGCCTGCTTGGTGATCGTGGTGTTGCTGTTAAGACGGACGAAAAGCATCGGCGGCGAGCTCGGTGGGCCTTTTGTACCGAAAATCATAACTTCCGCATTTCTATTTTCCTTATGGCTATTCTACCTCATCATGTCCACCCTAGAGGCCTATGGCATAATCCAAGGCTTCTAAATTCGCCATCGCATTTAGCGATTGCCAAACGTTGGCCTACCAAAGCTACACGTTTATATTCGATCTTGCAATTCGTTCCTGCCAATAACCCCCTCACCCTACTCCCGATCCCCGATCCCCGACCCCCTCTCCCCCCCCCCTGAAGACGTGCGCTCAAGAAAACATTCTATCGGTAATTATATTTTAATCATTCAATTATACGAATTTATTTGATTTCTTTTTTTTACTTTTACTATTTTTTAACTCTTTGGAGCACGGTGGGATTAAAAGTGTCCTCACCTTTTTGATACACCGTAATGCACATTTTTAATGGGACATTTTTAATCCCATCTCGAAATATTATTGTAATAGTTACACATGCTCATAAGTTTATATTTCGTCTTATTTACTCAAAACAATTACTCTTCGTTATTAACTTTGTCATTTTTTTTTATATTTTTACATTACGTAATATATATATCTATCAATAAAAATATACCAATTTAGTTTCATTTAACCCTTTGCGGTCAGCAGATGTCGCTTTTTGGAATACCAGCAGGTCGGAGCAAATCTAGCGTTTCGCAGTTACTTTTCCGTACAGGATTTAAAGTCAGTATATGTATATTAAAACAGACAGAATTTGTTGAAACTGATTTAAAAATGTCCCCGCTACGGGGACACCGACCGCAAAGGGTTAAAACGTAATAAGATTTCTATGCAAGATAGGACTATTTTATTATCTGCAATTTTGTGCCAAAAAAAAGTTAAATATTTTTCAGATAAATTCAAGCAATACTGTTGAGTGTCGAAAAATATACAATAACATTCAAAGTCTTAATTTTATCGGCACACACAATACATACTTTTCTCATTCAATCAATAAAAAGATAATAAATAAATAAATAAAACTATAGAGAGAGAGAGAGAGAGAGAGAGAGAGAGAATAATTCGTATTCATAATGTTCTTTTTTTTGTTTTTTGTTTTCCAGGACAGGAGGAAGTGAAATCTAACGAACGAATGAACAAACGAACGAACGAACAAACGGATGAAAGAAAGAAAAAAGAAATGAAAGAACAAAAACATCCCTGGCAAAGTGCATCGAAGAGGAAGGATATTCACCCCCTCCTGGTCCCAGGAATAAAATGAACAACGAACGTGATTGCGTGAAATATATATATATATACATATATATAACATACATATATATATATATATATATATATATATATATATTAATACGTGCATACGTGTGCGTATGAACAACGGGTGAGTGGGATAATACGTGATTGAGCATGAAGTATGATTGTTGCGAATAAATGAGAAAAAAAAAAAAGTATAATAATAAATTAAGAGAAGAAGAAGAAAAAAAAACAAAACATAAGTTAGAAGATAGAAAAGAAAAGAGAGAGAGAGAGAGAGAGAGAGAGAGAAAAAAAAGAAAACAGAAAAAAACACGGATAAAGAAAAATCATGTAAAAGGGTGACGATAAAAGTAAGAAAAGAAAAAAAAAACAAATATTAGAAGAAAACAAATAAAATAATAATAATAATAATAATAATAATAATAATAATAAGTATATGTTTGTGTGAGTATTAAAAAAAAAAAAAAAAGAAAATAAAATAAAAAAATAAATAAAAGCGAGTTTGCCTTAAAAATAAAAATTTAGAAAAGGAATGAAAGGTTAGATAAGTAAGTAATTGTAATTCTAGTCAAGGTTCAACTCTTTAATTCTTATTAATTGGGACAAGAAAATTGGGTTGAACGAGTTTACATGTGTGTCGAAGTTACAAAAGAAAAACAAAACAAAAAAAAAACTCAAAACTCAAAATCCTCAAAAGTGGAGGATGAAAGGAGGAAGATGAGAAGGGAGAAAACTAAGAAGAAGAAGACGAAGAAGAAGAAGAAAATAAGAAGAATAAAAGAAAGAATAATATATTACACATTACATATATATATATATACATAAATAAATATATAAATATAAGTACATACAGTACTTATTTATTTAATTGACAAAAAAAAAAAAGAAACACAGATTTTTAGGAATATTTTTTAAATAGCAGATCGTATATATATTGAAATATTTCTTTTATGTTTTTATTTATTTTTGGTTTTTTTTTTTTTTTTTGTATTTTTCATTTGTCTTTTTTCTTTCTTGCCAGAGAAACGATAATTGCTAATTTTATATAACACATACATACATACATACATACATAGTATTATCGATAAGATATTTTCATTGTCATCAAAAAGAAAAAAAAAATAATAAAAATAAAAAACTTCAATCAAGATCGAATGAATTCGTTGTGTCGACGTAAAAGACGATGAATGTCAATAATGTGTCGTTTAGTTTCGATTAAATGAAAGAAAAAAAACAAACAAACAAACAAACAAAATCTGAAAAAGAAACGAACGATAGGAAAAGGTAAAAAGAAAAGCAAAAAAAAAAAAAAAGAAATAATATAACGGATACAATTTTTATATCCGACCGATTTCGAAATACTTTTTAAGTTTTCATCCAAGTTCGATTTATCAACAAAAAGAAAAAAAAAAAAGAACAAAAAAAAAAATACTAGAAATGGTCGATACAAGTTTTACGAAAGTTTACTTCCAATCGGTTTCTCATTTTCTATCCTTGTTTTACAACTTTCCCCTTTGCCAACACCAACATCGCAAACCATTGCACCCGCTCCCCCTCCCCC